ATCAGATATCTACCAGCTTTCTCTGTTGATTGCTGTACCCTCATCAGACATCTACCAGCTTTCTCTGTTGGGTGCTGTAGTATTATCAGACATCTACCACTAGTACCAGCACTGTGTATTGATTGCTGTACCCTCATCAGATCTCTACCAGCACTCTGCATTGATTGCTGTACCCTCATCAGACATCTACCAGCTTTCTCTGTTGATTGCTGTACCCTCATCAGACATCTACCAGCTTTCTCTGTTGATTGCTGTACCCTCATCAGACATCTACCAGCTTTCTCTGTTGATTGCTGTACCCTCATCAGACATCTACCAGCTTTCTCTGTTGATTGCTGTACCCTCATCAGATATCTACCAGCTTTCTCTGTTGGTTGCTGTAGTATTATCAGACATCTACCAGCTTTCTCTGTTGATTGCTGTAGTGTTATCAGATTTCTACCAGCTTTCTCTGTTGATTGCTGTACCCTCATCAGACATCTACCAGCTTTCTCTGTTGATTGCTGTACCCTCATCAGACATATACCAGCTTTCTCTGTTGATTGTTGTACCCTCATCAGACATCTACCAGCTTTCTTTGTTGATTGCTGTACCCTCATCAGATATCTACCAGCTTTCTCTGTTGATTGCTGTACCCTCATCAGACATCTACCAGCTTTCTCTGTTGGGTGCTGTACCTTCATCAGACATCTACCAGCTTTCTCTGTTGGGTGCTGTACCCTCATCAGACATCTACCAGCTTTCTCTGTTGATTGCTGTACCCTCATCAGATATCTACCAGCTTTCTCTGTTGGTTGCTGTAGTATTATCAGACATCTACCAGCTTTCTCTGTTGATTGCTGTAGTGTTATCAGATTTCTACCAGCTTTCTCTGTTGATTGCTGTACCCTCATCAGACATCTACCAGCTTTCTCTGTTGATTGCTGTACCCTCATCAGACATCTACCAGCTTTCTCTGTTGGTTGCTGTACCCTCATCAGATATCTACCAGCTTTCTCTGTTGGGTGCTGTAGTATTATCAGATATCTACCAGCACTGAGTATTGATTGCTGTACCCTCATCAGACATCTACCAGCTTTCTCTGTTGATTGCTGTACCCTCATCAGATATCTACCAGCTTTCTCTGTTGGGTGCTGTAGTATTATCAGACATCTACCAGCTTTCTCTGTTGATTGCTGTAGTATTATCAGATTTCTACCAGCTTTCTCTGTTGATTGCTGTAGTATTATCAGACATCTACCACTAGTACCAGCACTGAGTATTGATTGCTGTACCCTCATCAGATATCTACCATCTTTCTCCGTTGGGTGCTGTAGTATTATCAGACATCTACCACTAGTACCAGCACTGTGTATTGATTGCTGTAGTATTATCAGATATCTACCAGCACTGTGTATTGATTGCTGTAGTATTATCAGATATCTACCAGCACTGTGTATTGATTGCTGTAGTATTATCAGATATCTACCAGCACTGTGTATTGATTGCTGTAGTATTATCAGATATCTACCAGCACTGTGTATTGATTGCTGTACCCTCATCAGATATCTACCAGCACTGTGTATTGATTGCTGTAGTATTATCAGATATCTACCAGCACTGTGTATTGATTGCTGTACCCTCATCAGATATCTACCAGCACTGTGTATTGATTGCTGTAGTATTATCAGATATCTACCAGCACTGTGTATTGATTGCTGTACCCTCATCAGATATCTACCAGCACTGTGTATTGATTGCTGTAGTATTATCAGATATCTACCAGCACTGTGTATTGATTGCTGTAGTATTATCAGATATCTACCAGCACTGTGTATTGATTGCTGTAGTATTATCAGATATCTACCAGCACTGTGTATTGATTGCTGTAGTATTATCAGATATCTACCAGCACTGTGTATTGATTGCTGTTGCTGTACCCTCATCAGATATCTACCAGCACTGTGTATTGATTGCTATCAGATATCTACCAGCACTGTGTATTGATTGCTGTAGTATTATCAGATATCTACCAGCACTGTGTATTGATTGCTGTAGTATTATCAGATATCTACCAGCACTGTGTATTGATTGCTGTAGTATTATCAGATATCTACCAGCACTGTGTATTGATTGCTGTAGTATTATCAGATATCTACCAGCACTGTGTATTGATTCTACCAGCACTCAGATATCTACCAGCACTGTGTATTGATTGCTGTAGTATTATCAGATATCTACCAGCACTGTGTATTGATTGCTGTAGTATTATCAGATATCTACCAGCACTGTGTATTGATTGCTGTAGTATTATCAGATATCTACCAGCACTGTGTATTGATTGCTGTAGTATTATCAGATATCTACCAGCACTGTGTATAGATGATTGCTGTAGTATTATCAGATATCTACCAGCACTGTGTATTGATTGCTGTACCCCATATGATCAGATATCTACCAGCACTGTGTATTGATTGCTGTAGTATCATCAGATATCTACCAGCACTGTGTATTGATTGCTGTAGTATTATCAGATATCTACCAGCACTGTGTATTGATTGCTGTAGTATTATCAGATATCTACCAGCACTGTGTATTGATTGCTGTAGTATTATCAGATATCTACCAGCACTGTGTATTGATTGCAGCACACTGTGTGTATTGATTGTAGTATTATCAGATATCTACCAGCACTGTGTATTGATTGCTGTAGTATTATCAGATATCTACCAGCACTGTGTATTGATTGCTGTAGTATTATCAGATATCTACCAGCACTGTGTATTGATTGCTGTACTCATCAGATATCTACCAGCACTGTGTATTGATTGCTGTAGTATTATCAGATATCTACCAGCACTGTGTATTGATTGCTGTACCCTCATCAGATATCTACCAGCACTGTGTATTGATTGCTGTAGTATTATCAGATATCTACCAGCACTGTGTATTGATTGCTGTAGTATTATCAGATATCTACCAGCACTGTGTATTGATTGCTGTAGTATTATCAGATATCTACCAGCACTGTGTATTGATTGCTGTAGTATTATCAGATATCTACCAGCACTGTGTATTGATTGCTGTAGTATTATCAGATATCTACCAGCACTGTGTATTGATTGCTGTAGTATTATCAGATATCTACCAGCACTGTGTATTGATTGCTGTAGTATCATCAGATATCTACCAGCACTGTGTATTGATTGCTGTAGTATTATCAGATATCTACCAGCACTGTGTATTGATTGCTGTACCCTCATCAGATATCTACCAGCACTACCAGCACTGTGTATTGATTGCTGTAGTATTATCAGATATCTACCAGCACTGTGTATTGATTGCTGTAGTATTATCAGATATCTACCAGCACTTGATTGCCGTAGTATTGATTGCTGTACCCTCATCAGATATCTACCAGCACTGTGTATTGATTGCTGTAGTATTATCAGATATCTACCAGCACTGTGTATTGATTGCTGTAGTATTATCAGATATCTACCAGCACTGTGTATTGATTGCTGTACCAGCACTGTGTATAGATTGCTGTAGTATTATCAGATATCTACCAGCACTGTGTATTGATTGCTGTAGTATTATCAGATATCTACCAGCACTGTGTATTGATTGCTGTAGTATTATCAGATATCTACCAGCACTCCATATTATAATTATAGTCTATTTGCAGTGAAAACGTACCAATGAATTCCACTTTAAACAAAAATGTAAATCAAATAAAGTGAAATTAAGATTGCAAATCCTCACAATTTTGCCTTGCCATTTGAACATTTAACTCTGAGAATTTCATTCAACATAGGATAAAAGTTTTTTAACAAACAATCATAGTTTCAAATTGCTAGTATTGGTTTGTATTACAAGGGGGTATGCACATTAAATGAAACTCCAAGAACAAGTGGGGTTGGTCTAAGTTAACACTCATCACGTACTGCACGTGCATTTGTTTCACTGTTCCAACTACTGCGCTTACCCCTTTGTAATACAAACCAGTAATAGCGATTTGTAACTATGATCGTTTGTTAAACAACTTTTATCCTATGTTGAATAAATTCTGAATTTTAAATGTTCATTTGGCAAGGTAAAATTATGAGGATTCGCAATCTTAATTTTACTTTATTTGATTTACATTTTTTTGTTTAAAGTGAAATTCATCAGTACGCTTTCACTGCAAACAGACTATAGTTGCTGTAGTTGTTTCAGAAATGTTCTAACTATGCACCATTAAAATCTTTCTTAGACAATGCTGCATGATGCATGCCGTGCACAATCACTCCCTAGTCAATATTGTGAAAGGAACGTGTACCAGTGCTGATTGCCACAGCCCCAGCTGTAAGAGCCACTCCTCTCGCAGCTCACAGATTACTTGGGGTTTATAACCAGTTGCTTTCTCATGACAAGAACACCAATAAATGTTCCTAGACAACATTTGAGCACACAGGACAAGTCATGGAATAAGATGACCCTCAGGCAATCGTCATTATGTACTGAACCCTAACAAATGAAGTGGCATACAAACCACAATCACTTCATGGTAACTGTGGAATTATGGTCACGGCAGCCAGGATCAGACTGGCTTCCTCCTTCCTGGCACAAGTTGGGGCAACTTAAGAAGGCATCCTCCACAGACACTATAATCAATGTTTCACAATATTCTCGCAAACTATTTCTCTCCATGCCATCCCACACAACTCTACAAACTATGGGCAACTAGTTCGACATATATTGACAAGCCTCAAACACCAATCTACCAAGGGAACGTCCCGTCTGGATCATGGTGTAAAGTGTTTGTATAATCATCTCACATCCAGCTCATACTTGAATATCCTTTATGAATCTCTGTCACAGCATGATAGCGAATGAAGAACACATTTTCCTGAATGCTCCACTGAAGACACAGATCACATACTTAAAAGGAAATCATAGATTTTTCAATCTCAAACAGTTTCACTGAAACCTTCAGCATGCTGACCAGAAGGGAATAATGATAAAAAATCGTGACTCACCTAATGCTGTGTGTCCTTTTGTGTAGCGTAATATCTCACTGTGTGTCTTTGGAATGTCGGTATCAGAAGGAGGCTGATAGCGAGTGAAAGACATAAAACAATACCATTTGCACTTGTCCTTATTTCGTAAGTGGGATGTCATCAACTCTTTGGCAAAATGGCTCCACAGATCATTCCCAGACATAGCATATGCTTGTTCTGTTGTTAGCTTACTGCGAAATAAGTGACACAAAGGGGCATTGTCATCACCAGTTTCCAGCTGGAATGTCTGCCGGCCAAAACCGTGTTCTTTCATTTTCTCTGCAGTGAATGTCTGTATCAACTGGGCTCCAAGTGTAATCCTCCGAATGGCACTAGTAGGTGAGCAATCTTCGTCATCAGGGCCTTGAAAATAGCCATCATCGTCAGACAATACAATATAAACTGGGCGGACAAAGTGGGCAATTTTGGGTTCTTCAAATATGAGCGACAACGTCAATACCTCATCCTCAAATTGAACACTAAGGATGTTTTCACCCAGTTTCAGCTCCATAAGCACCTTAAAGCAGCCCTCAACCACAGGCCACTGGTAGCGGCGCCTGGACATGTCATTGGAGTTCCACACATCCAGGACGCCATCGTCCAGACAGTCATCAATTTCCCCCAACAGAAGAATGATGTGATATGTGACCACCTCTCTGTCACCGACATTGTACACCTTGATCCTCATGTTCCTTCACCCTCGGCATGTCACGTTGGGAGCGTCATCATCTACAACACAACAAATGATACATCATGAGCTACAACACCTCCATATGCAGCTGGTGCAAACTGTTTGTGTCTACAAGACGGGAAAGTAGATTTTAGCCTTGACATTGACCATTCTTTGTGGAGCTGTCCAAAAGAAATGTTACGGGACATGGGCCACTGGTCAAAGCGACATGTCATCCCATTTGTAGGCTCTGCAAGTGCACAGCATATGCTGGCCATATATATTCAGTTTTCCTCAACATCTACATCCCATGAGAACTATAATCCATGAGTCACCATCCACAAGGAAGCACCAGCGTCTTTGACACTAGCCAAACAGCCACTGAGCCCACACTTCAAGGATTAATGGGATTAGCAGCTCAGTCAGTATTTTCTGTAAATGATATAAGTGTAAACCATGTTATATAACATACACGTCTGCTGTGAATGTCATTAATTACAGACCTGAAATCTCCATACTAACTCCACATAAAGCTATTAGTGATGATTACATAGTCTCAGGGCCTACAGTAATGATATGTCTGAGCTTATCAAAATGAAATGATGGCCATTTTGTGAATCTTTATCCACATACTTCAGTTTCAAAGACATGCAGGAATGCTGGAGGTAATGTTTTACTGACTTCCCTGGGCCAGATGCAGCACTAAACTAATCAAATTTGCTAATGACATTTACTTTCATATTGAAATTTAATCATTGCACTGAGTATCAATAAAAGTCTGCTCAAATCAACTTTGAATAAAGTGTTTTCTTCAAACCAATACGATCTTAAACACTATATGTTCTAGAAATAACCACTAACTGGCAAATGTATAAACTGGGCAATTCTAGATGGGGTGACATAATGACTGACAGGGTGACGTTCACTGTGAAACTCAACCGAGCATATCCCCACAATCTGATTATCAACTGAGATCAATACAAGTCTATCAAATGCTCCCCATTGTATATATGTCAGTGTTGGAGAACAGCTCCACTCAGTGTCGGGCAGCTCTGCAGCTCATTCCACCATGCCAAACATCTTTGCCACCTCTTTTTGTGAAAGATTGATTATGCACATCTGAACATCATCTGGCCATTTTCTGCAATGCACCAGGAGAGAAGTATCTATTGTTTGAGTATGTAGCTGATAAGAGTATTAAGACTAATTGACGTCTGCCTCCTCCCACTCCTCCCCCACTGCAGGCTCCTGCAGCCAACAGAACTGTCCTCTACACCCCATGCACTCATCTCTGCAGTGAGGCCTGATTTCCCACTTGATCAACTTCAGTTAATTATGTTCTCTCCATTATTTCTCAGAAGGTTATAGTCACATGACTTTATCCAACCGGATACCCATTTTCTGCTGGGTGAACAGAGGCAATTTTGAACAAACTCACTTGCCTGAGGTGAGACCACATGTATCACATGTGCTTCCTTGTGGGGCAGGACTGAAGTACTAGAAACTCTCAGGACTCAAGCTCCCAAACACGGTCATCCATCCAAGGACTGTCCGAGCTTGAAGTTGCTTAACTTCAACTGATTTGTGACCTGAGCTCTGTGCACAGGACCACATGCCAATACAGGACCACATGCCACACATATGCTGCTGTTATCATTACTTGATAATGACCATGGTCACCAATGACTGGCATCAGCCATGACATACCTATATCGAGCGTACCTATACTGAATGTCACTAACACAAGGAACACCACAGTAGCTGATTGAGATTAAACTCCATATGAAACATGCACTCACCCACATAAATGACAACATCATATTCACAAAAGTTGTAATAGTCTGGGCCCAGAACTTTTAAGTATACTAGATCAAACACCATTCCAGGAGATGGTTACCTTAAGTTGGATAGCTTGTTCCTAATCCCTTTCTTCACTGAATAAAACATGTGTAAATCAAACACCATTTTCTGATGATTTCTGTAATTATATGGACCATCACATATGACCTTACTAGAATGAACCAAACTTCACTCGACACAGGACTAGTTTTGACGTGGCAGACTGCATATGTGAGTGATTCATTAGCAGGGTACTGTGAAACCTGTGATGATGACAGCCAAACATGCAGAGAATTGTGGGGTTCTGTGTTACAACTTAATAACTCATCATTGGTTAGAAAAAGCATCAATGATTGTGTTTTTACACCATGTTACCCTCAATTTTATTACAAGCTATAATTTCATTCAGTGAATTTATCTAATTGGACAAAAATCAATTGCAGATTCCCTGGTCACATGACTTTCCTAGATTGGAAATGGCAACTATTCCATCATCAGTACACTTGATGGAGCACATTACAAGCAGGGCACATACACTGATATTGTCAAGAAAACTGAAGATGAATTGTAATCTGGCATGTTTGGTTTGTAGTGTAAAAATACTTTAACACCAGCAACATTTAGATGACCAAATTGTATTCAGCACACTATGACTTCAACATTGCGACATTACCATAACACAACAATTAGCATCAGAACAGGCTTACTGAAACGTCATGTACTTCTCTGCTGCTAATAGAGTAATCAAATCTATGGAAAGAGTGACGAAGGGAGGGAGAACCAACAGCAAATGTAATTCCCACACGGGGAATAATTTCTCATGTTTGACCAGCTCATTCATTACAATCTCTAAATGTGATTGCATTTCTGACATAGATGTAATGCTGTAATCTGTTTCTCTGGTATAGTTACCACAATTGTCACACACTGTCACTTTCATAAAATACCTCAACACGGACTTGTTATAAAACATCAAGAAACATGAACACATTTTGTCACACAATCCCATTTAATATGTCACTGACTGCTACCATCTTGCCTGCATCATTGTATACACAGTTCAGTCAGGGCACCTGTAATGATGTGACCCTGATCCAGTTGCATGTGCTCTACAGGTAATGTGTCATTGTATACACAGTTCAGTCAGGGCACCTGTAATGATGTGACCCTGATCCAGCTGCATGTGCTCTACAGGTAATGTGTCATTGTATACATGGTTCAATCAGGGCACCTGTAACAATGTGACCATGATACAGTAGCAGGTGCTCTACAGGTAATGTGTCATTGCATACATGGTTCAGTCAGGGCACCTGTAACAATGTGACCATGATACAGTAGCAGGTGCTCTACAGGTAATGTGTCATTGTATACATGGTTCAGTCAGGGCACCTGTAACAATGTGACCCAGGTGCTCTACAGGTAATACATGGTTCAGTCAGGGCAGTAACAATGTGCTCAGTACAGGTACAGGTGTGTCATTGTATACATGGTTCAATCAGGGCACCTGTAACAATGTGACCATGATACAGTAGCAGGTGCTCTACAGGTAATGTGTCATTGTATACATGGTTCAGTCAGGGCACCTGTAACAATGTGACCATGATCCAGTAGCAGGTGCTCTACAGGTAATGTGTCATTGTATACATGGTTCAATCAGGGCACCTGTAACAATGTGACCATGATACAGTAGCAGGTGCTCTACAGGTAATGTGTCATTGTATACATGGTTCAGTCAGGGCACCTGTAACAATGTGACCATGATACAGTAGTAGGTGCTCTACAGGTAATGTGTCATTGTATACATGGTTCAGTCAGGGCACCTGTAACAATGTGACCATGATACAGTAGCAGGTGCTCTACAGGTAATGTGTCATTGTATACATGGTTCAGTCAGGGCACCTGTAACAATGTGACCATGATACAGTAGCAGGTGCTCTACAGGTAATGTGTCATTGTATACATGGTTCAATCAGGGCACCTGTAACAATGTGACCATGATCTATCAGTACCAGTGCTCTACAGGTAATGTGTCATTGTATACATGGTTCAATCAGGGCACCTGTAACAATGTGACCATGATTCAGTAGTAGGTGCTCTACAGGTAATGTGTCATTGTATACATGGTTCAATCAGGGCACCTGTAACAATGTGACCATGATTCAGTAGTAGGTGCTCTACAGGTAATGTGTCATTGTATACATGGTTCAGTCAGGGCACCTGTAACAATGTGACCATGATACAGTAGCAGGTGCTCTACAGGTAATGTGTCATTGCATGCATGGTTCAGTCAGGGCACCTGTAACAATGTGACCCTGATCCAGTAGCAAGTGCTCTACAGGTAATGTGTCATTGTATACATGGTTCAATCAGGGCACCTGTAACAATGTGACCATGATTCAGTAGTAGGTGCTCTACAGGTAATGTGTCATTGTATACATGGTTCAATCAGGGCACCTGTAACAATGTGACCATGATTCAGTAGTAGGTGCTCTACAGGTAATGTGTCATTGTATACATGGTTCAATCAGGGCACCTGTAACAATGTGACCATGATACAGTAGCAGGTGCTCTACAGGTAATGTGTCATTGTATACATGGTTCAATCAGGGCACCTGTAACAATGTGACCATGATACAGTAGTAGGTGCTCTACAGGTAATGTGTCATTGTATACATGGTTCAATCAGGGCACCTGTAACAATGTGACCATGATTCAGTAGCAGGTGCTCTACAGGTAATGTGTCATTGTATACATGGTTCAATCAGGGCACCTGTAACAATGTGACCATGATACAGTTGCAGGTGCTCTACAGGTAATATGTCATTATATGCATGGTTCAGTCAGGGCACCTGTAACAATGTGACCCTGATCCAGTGGCAAGTGCTCTACAGGTAATGTGTCATTGTATACATGGTTCAATCAGGGCACCTGTAACAATGTGACCATGATTCAGTAGTAGGTGCTCTACAGGTAATGTGTCATTGTATACATGGTTCAATCAGGGCACCTGTAACAATGTGACCATGATTCAGTAGCAGGTGCTCTACAGGTAATGTGTCATTGTATACATGGTTCAATCAGGGCACCTGTAACAATGTGACCATGATCCAGTTGCAGGTGCTCTACAGGTAATGTGTCATTGTATACATGGTTCAATCAGGGCACCTGTAACAATGTGACCATGATTCAGTAGTAGGTGCTCTACAGGTAATGTGTCATT